AGTCAAATGACTGTTATCTATGTTTAACATGCATATACTTGGAGTATATTTTCTTAATATGTGGTACTACTCACCCCATCCTCCAGTCATCACCTATTTCTGCCTTTCTTGTTCTTTTGGGGACAAAATCAACCTTTCTAGATCCATATTCCAGTTATGGGTCTCAATCAATCCTACCAAGTCTCAGGGATGCTGATGAGGTCAAATGTGCCAGTTTGCAATAGGTTGTTTATCTCACGTTGATAATTACCCATACTTTTTGCATTTGTGTACAAAGATCTAAGATTATGGGTTTTGTGACTCCTTTCTACAAAATTTAGCTCCTGTGAATTTATGGAAATCTTTGTTGTTGTTTTATTATTTGAGTCATGTCTGATTCTTTATGAACCCATTCAAGGTTTTCTTGGCAAAGTTACTGGAGCAGTTTCCTTCTCTATCTCATTTTACAGATGAGGAAACGGAAGCAAACAAGGGTAAGTGACTTGCCCAGAGTCACACAGTTAGTAAGTGTCTGGGGCTGGCTTTGAATTCAGGAAGAAGAGTCTTCCTAATTCCAAGCCCAGCGCTCTATCTACCATGACATCTAGCTACCCCAAGTAAGTGAAATCTTTATTACTGTTCTTTTTCTGCCTTATGGCCCATCTCTATGGGCTTATCTTTGGTGGGTAAATATAGGTAGCTTTCCTTCTCTACTTTCCTTACTTTTCAATGTAAAGACCAATTAGTTCGATTTGCAAGATTTCAGGTGAATACTAGACTTTCTTCTGTACTTGATCTCTGGCCAGGAGCTTCTCAGAAACTGCCTTTTTTCAAGGATCACCTCAGGGACTGTGTACTCCAGAAAGCCTTCCTCAGTTCTTTCAATCAGTCCTCATATACAGCATGATCTCGAAATCCTTCACCATCTTGGACACCCTCCTCTGGACACTCACCCTATTCTTGTTGTCCTTCCTAAAATGTGGAGCCCAGAATGGAATATGATTCTCTCTAGGTGTGGCCTGGCAAAAGTGGAGTACAGAGGGATTGCTCCCTCCCTCATTCTTGAACCTACACCTCTCAACATAATCTAAGACCTTGCTACCTTTGGGGTTCACCATATTGCATTGTTGGCTCATCTTGAGCTTGCAATATGCAAAAATGTCCAGTTAGTTTTTAGATGAGCATCTATATATTTATGCTTCCTTTGACTTGGTCTTGTGAGGCTGGTTTTCTTTAATTCAGATGAAGAACTTTCTATTTAGAATAGACAGAGGGATTCAAATTGTGATTTTACTGGCATGGAAAATTTGTTGGTGAGAAAACTCTCACAGGTTTGGCACCTTTTCTATAACTCATAGTCTTAGAGAATTGTTTAGAGCACCGAAGTTAAGTGACTTGTGAATGGTCACACAACCAAGATCTTGCTTACCTTCCTCTAATTTGAAACCTGGTCTTCCTGGCTCTTAGCTCTCTAACCATTATCCAGGCTACTTCTGTTCTAACTCTGTCCTATATTTGACCCAACAGTCTAGCCTGTCAAGATCTTTTTGAGTCTTGATTCTGTCACTCAGTATGTTACTTATCCCTCTTAACTTTTTGTTCTTTGAAAATGTGATAAATGTGCCATCTATGCTACCATTCAAATCACTAATAAAAGCATCCAAGAGCAAGAGCTAAGGATAGATTCCTAGGATGCTCTACGACACATTTCCCACTGAGCCTGTATCTTTCCATTACTGACAGCTCTTATGGTCATGGTCTTTAACCAGTTTTAAATCTATTCAGCTGTCCTAGTAAATTGCACATATTTCTGCATCTTGTCCGAAAGGATAGCATGAAAGATTTTTTCATATATTTTGCTGAAGCCTTAATAAACAGCATTATCCTGATCTGCCAGTCTAGTAACCCTGTTCTGGCATGATCTGTTCTTGATGAAGTCACATGGACTCATTGCAATCAGCGTTTCCTTTTCTAGTTGTTCACTAACCATCCTCTAGCAATATAGTCTAGAATTTTCTCAGCAATCAATGACAAAATCACCATTTTATAGCTACTCTTTCCTTAAAAAAAAAAAGAAGAAGCAGGATATAACTTGCCGTCCTCCTCCAATCATGTGGTGACTCTCCCAATTTTCCAGTCTTTCAAAGATTACCAACCTGGGCTCAGAAATCACACCTGCCAATTCTTTCAGCCAAAATGCCCTTTTCTCTAACCCCTTCCCATTATTATCCCCATTTCTGTCTTCTGCAGCCAAGCAAGAGAATTCTAATCCCTCTGCTACAGGGCAGCCCTTCAACTACTTGTAGACAGCTATTGTGTCTCCCCCTAAATTCTCCTGGCTAAACGTCCTCAATTCCTTCAACTGATCATTATACGATATGTTCTCTGAGTCTCTATTTGCCATGCTCTTGGCATGTTTCATCTGGTCTTTCCTAGCATATGGTGTCCAGAACCAATATGATATTCCACATATCTGACAAGAACAGGGAACAGAAGTATTAGCTCTCTTATTCTGGCTGCTACTTCATGCAGTTTCTCTCTTAATGCAGCCTGGGATAGCATTGCCCTTTCTGACTGCCACGTCACATTTGTATTCATTTACCTGTGAACAGGATGTATTCCCTCCATAGAAGACTAGCTTCTTGAAAGCAGGGACTATATAGAGTACTTCAAAAATAGGAAGTGCTTCCTAAACAATTATTGAATTGAACTGAGTTGGAATTATTTCTGCTTCTGTTTTTGGAGTTGAATTTTTCTTTTTCTTTTTTTCGAGAGGCAGTCAGGGTTAAGTGACTTGCCCAGGTTCGCACAACTAGTAAGTATCAAATGTCTGAGGTTGGATTTGAACTCAGGTCTTCCTGACTCCAAGGCTGGAGCTCTATGTACTGTACCACCTAGCTGCCCCCTAGAGCTGAATTTTTAAAAACATCTGCCCTCCAAAGCTCAATTCCATTGCATTGTATTCAGCCACTGTTTCTTATCTCTCTTTTGAAATTTGCCCCCCTCAGATATAGGATTCATATCAGCCTATGCCTTGTTTTCCTCTATTTCTTTGTCATTGTTGTGAAGGATTTTTCTTTTTAAAATTGTATTACATTTTCTCAAAAAGAAAATTTGTTTTCTCTCTCACCTACCTTCCTCCAACTGGAAAAAAAACACAACCAAAACCCTTGTAACAAATAATAAATAATTAAGCAAAATAAATTTCCACACTGACTATGTTCAAAAATATCTGCCTCATTTCACATCCTGAATCCATCACCTCTCTGTAAGGAGGTAGGTAGGATGCTTCATCATTGGTCCTTTGCAATCATGGGTAGGCATAGCATTGATTTATGATAGAGTTTTCTTTGGCCTCTTGAACTCCTGTTGTTGCTATTTCAGCAACCAACCACCTTTTATGGTTATTTAGGGGTCCAGAACATCATTTTCTCCACCTCTTAAAGGATTTTATTATCTTTAAAACAAGTTACAAATGTATCTGCTGTTCTGCCTTTTTCCCCCACAGACAGAGTTCTAGTATTTATCTGGATAATAGAAGTCCCTTATTGTTACAATATCATATTTCTGTGCCTGGTTTGTGGTCCATTTTTCAAACTCCTCATCTGATTCTTCCTTCTGTTCAGGCGGTTTCTGTCAAGTGGAACTGGGCCATGCCATTTTGGCTTCCTAGTTTTCTTATTTACTCATTGTGTGATTTTGAGCAAGTAACTTCTCTCCTTACTTTGCTGGGTTTCCTTATCTAAAAAAAAGAAAGGATTAGATTAAGTCATAGGATGCTAGACTTGGAGGTGGTAGGCACTTTGGAGGGCATCTCTCTAAGTATCCTTCCAAAATGTTTTGAATGTCAAGCAGTTCCCAGATCCTAAATGTTCACTCTTTTGGACCTTGCCTGCGATGCATGAGAAATATAGCTGGTACTATGCTTTTTAAACCAGGTACCATGAATGCACAAATTAGACGCAATCAACCAACCCAAAAATGCAGTGAGGCATAATGAGTAGTGGGCTAGACTTGGAGTTAGGGAGCCCTGGGTTCAAATCCTTCTGCTCATCCCTAAATAGCTTAGTAAATTTGCTAATCTTTAAGCCTCTCTGAGGCTGTTTCCTTATCTGGAAAAATGGGCCACCTATATCATAAGGCTTTTGTAAGGCTGAAATGACTGTGATGTAAGTACTTAATAAATAGAGAGGAGCAGACCTTCAATTTCATTGGCAGAAGGAATTTCTTGGGGAAAGAAACTCTCTCTGTTGATGCAAAGTCAGCACCTTCTCTGAAAGTTTTAATCTTAGAAAACTGTCCATATGGCACCTGGAGGTTGACTTGTCTAGGGCCATACAGGTAATGTGTCTCAGAGGGAGGACCTGAACCCACATTTTTCAAGGGTCAGGTCCAGCTCTCTAACCACTACTCCATGCTGCTTCTCATTTTAGCAAAAAACAAAAAACAAAACTGTTATTATTACATTTCCACGGGGGAAAGGGGTCTTTACAAGAAAAATGTAGTCTTGGTAAGTAGATTTGCTTCTGGTCCGCTCTCACTACTCATTCCCCAACCCGTAAGCTTATCCTCAATAATATACTCTTGGTTCAATTTATTAAGTGCTGATTAAGCCCTTACTACAAGATAGCCACTGTGCTAGGTGCTGGCTATCCAAACACCAAAGCAAAGTTCAGACAACTTACATTCTACTTGGAGGAAAGCAACGTGTTCACAGGCAAGTAAACATGAGGTCAAGAGAGTAATTTGTAGGGGAAACTGAGAAAATTAGGAAAGGGCCCTTGAACTGAATCTTGAAAAGAAGTAGAGATTCCAGAAGGCAATAGCTAATGGCTGCCATTAATGAAGCACTTTACAACTATTATTTCATTTGATCTGCACAATAACCCTGGGAGGTAGGTGCTTTAATTATTCTCACTTTACAGATGAGGAAACCGAAGCACAGAGGAGTAAAAATACTTGCTTTGGGTCACACAGTATGTGTCTGGGACAGATTTTAACTCAGTTCTTCCTGATTCCAGGTCCAGCACTGTGCCTGCCTTGTAGTGAGGAGGAGGAGGAGGAGGAGAGGAGGACGAGGAGGAGGAATGTTTCAAGCAAGCGATGGGGAAGAAACAGTTTGTGCAAAGGCATGGAGATGGGAAACTGAATCTCAAGCCTGAAAAATGTTACACAATGACTGGGTCTATTTCTCAGACCTGTTTCCCAGAGTCCTCCTTATTGCAAAGCCCTCAAGGCTAAGTTTTTGCTTGCCCTTTTGTGTGAGATCTCTTGACTGACACTGGGGTGGAAAATTTTCCATGAACCTCCATCTAAAATCTTCCTTTATTTAATTTCATCTTAATTGCCTCAATTAGGTTCCTTTAATATTTGCTTAACAGACTCTTACTTAGTCCTTTCAGTTCTTAACAACAGCTGCCAAATGGAGTCTTTGTTCAGGGTTCCTTTCCTAATAGGCTTCACACCAGCCCTGTTTGTTTTCCACCAGGACAATTTCCAATAAACCTGAAAAACGTTTAGCTGGTTATTCAAGCCCCCATGGACCAAGCTCACTTGACAGCTGTCACTCATCTCATTCAGGTCCAGGAAATGGAAAAGTATTTGTTTTTTCTCATGGGAGGCAATCTACTATTAGGGGCCAGGGTGTGGTGGGGGTGAATTTCACTGGATTTGGACAATTACATCTGAAAAGGCATCGAAAGCCATGAATTTCTCTTTCAGAGCTTCACATCCTGAATTCACTGGTGCCAAGCTTTCTTTCTCACCCTTCCCGTCTTTAGCTTTTATTTCATATAAATTATCCTGAATTTCAAAGTTGGAAGGAAGCCCCGAGCCTATCCCCTTTAAAAAAAAAAAAGCTTTGATAAATGGTCATCTAGGTTTTGATATGGTGAGGGGAGGTCACTCACTACCCATAAGGCAACCTATTTCAACTTGTGCTATTTATAATTGCAAGGATGCTTTTCCTCACCCCTCTCTAATCTCCCAGTATCAGTCCTTAAGAGAAAATTCACCAGATCCTAGATTTTGAGCCAGAAGAGTTCTTAGCTGTCATCTAATACCTTGAATCATTTTTATAAATGAAACACTCAATGATCAGAAAGGGAAAGGAATTTGTCTAAGGTCACACAAGATGAACCAGAGCCAGAAATCAAACCCATATCCAATCACTTAAAGCCCAGCAAGTTTTCTGCTCTAATGAATAGTTTCCTGATTGCCCCGACGTCTTGGAATTCCTCTTTGGCGTGATTGATGATACTAAATCTGAGATTTGCCACTCTTTGGAATGATAGTGGCAAGAATGAACCTAAATCATTCCAGACACTTTTCTCTGGTGTATTTGATCTGTGCAAGCCTGCTTCAAGCATAGAGTAAACAACTTCCCCTAGAAAAACGATGATACTGCCTGGTCTGGCTAGCACTGGTGATATAGTGAAAAGAGTACAGCCTTGGAATAAGAGAATTGCTATTCAAATCCCACACTATTCCAACACACTGTCTTCAGATACACACTATTTGAAGTTATAATTATAACTTCAAAATATAAATATAAATAAAATATATAAATATAAATAAAAAAATAAAAATATGGTAATTGATTCCAGACCAGTGTTGTCCTGGTTCTGCCCACTTCCCTCTACATTAGTTCATACAAGTCTTCTCAGGTTTCTCTGAAACTGCCATTTGTGTCAATAATATCCCACTGCAATACTATTGTGCTGTAAAAAAAAAATGACAAACAGGATGGTTTCAGAAAAATCTGGGAAATCTTATATGAACTGATGCAAAGTTAAGTCAGCAGAACAGCAGAACCAGGAGACACTGTACACAGTAACAGCAATATAGTAGTAATGATCAACTAGGAATGACTTAGCTACTCTGATCAAGGCAGTAGTACAAGACAATTCCAAAGGACCCAGGATAAAAAATGCTATCCACCTACAGAGAGAGAACTGATGAATTCTGAGTGCAGATGGAAGCATATTTTTAAAAAACTTTCTTTTGCAACATGGCTAATATAGAAATACATTTTGCATGACTTCACATGCAAAAATCATATTATATTGCTTGCCTTCTCAAAGGGTGGGGGTGGTAGGGAAAGAATTTGGAACTGGAAATTTCAAAGTAAATGTTAAAATTTTTAAAAAATGTAATTGGTAAATATTTAATGCAATAAAAATACATTACTAAAAATTACATTCCATTGCATTCACACACTGTGTATTCAGCCATTCTCCAATCTGTTGTTGTCTCTTTATGAATCGTTGATCTGGTTTTGCCCTCTTCCCTCTATTTAGTTCATGTAAGTCTTCCCAGGTTTCTTTAAAACTATCTCTTTAGTCAATAATATTCCATTGCATTCACACATTATAATGTGTTTGGGCATTCCCTAATTTGCCCTCTACATGGCCACAGAGAAAAACCATTCTTACTTACTCCGTGTATAGACTTAGCTATGATATCAACCCAGTTGATCTGGGCGTTGGTGGAGGCCATAAAAGAAACCAGAAAATGAAGATGGATTTGCCCCCCCCCAGCTGCCTTGTGTCTATCTCTCCAGACTAATTTTATATTGCAGCCCCTCATGCACTCTTGTTCCAGACAAACTGGCCCACTGGTTGTTTTCCAAATGCCTCATGTCATCCCCCATCTCTGCTATTTTGTGCATTTAAAAACATTATTCTAGGAAGGGGTCCGCAGGCATCACCAGACTGCCAAAGGGGTCTATAAAAACACGAAGCCCTGATTTAACTTTTCTGCACCTGTTTCCTCATCTGTAAAATGGACTGGTTGATCTCCACAGTTGCCTCCATTCCTAAATTTTTGAACCAATGAATATTTTGGGGTTTTTGTCTTTGTATCCCCAGCACAGTGCCTGGCACATACCAGTTACTTAACCAATGCTGAATAGAATTGAATTAATCAGGTCTTCAGTTTTGACTTTCTGCCCCAGGTGGAAGAAACTACTCACACTTGCGCCAAACAATAGCTCTAATTCTCCTACGGGCAAGCCAGACCCACAAAAGTTCAATTAGTAAGTCTTGGCAAATAAAGGCAACAAACACTTTGGCAATTATGAATTCAGGCCAGGTTTGGCCTTTCCCCAGGCTCAATACTGTGTCCATGCCAGGGTTTTTCAAAGAGTGGCTTTGAAGGCTTCTAAAAAAGGTTCCATTTCCCAACAATCCAAGCTTTTGTTTGTGGTCTTTCTAAACTTGCCTTTGGCTCTCTCACTGACTCCCTTTTGAAAGTTGCTCATGAAGGACACTAATGTGTTCGTCGGACCCCCTCCTCCTTTGTCCTCTTAGGAATATGCCAGCCCTTTCCCCTTCTTTCCAAGATGTCATCGAGACCTCACAATTTCCTTCTCATGGCATGGCAGATAACTCTAGTGGTTTGGGCTTTCACCAGGAAAATAGTTTATTGTTCTGCTTGATAATAAGGATTAAGAAGAGCTAGAAAGGACCTCAGAGGGCATCTAGTTCATTTCCCTCATTTTACAGATAAGGAAACCGAGGCTTAGAAAGATGGTGTGTCTTATCCACAGAGTCCATAAGGAGTAGAGCTGAGATCTGAACTCAAGACTTTTCTGATATTCTGCTCTTTCTGCTATACCACATTGCTTAAGATAACAATTGCTCAATGTTAGAGAGCTTAGAATTAGCAGAGCTGAGATTTAAACCCAGGCCTTTCTTATATAACATTGCTTAAAATTATCATCATTATTATCATGGTAGGGTTTACAAAGTTATTCACATACATTTTCTTATTTAACACAACAGCTTTCTTGAAGTGGATTCGACAGGTTTTATGATCCCCATTTTACAGATGAGGAAACTGAGGTTAAATGCTTTGCCCATAGTCACACAAGATGAGAAAAGCTTCCTTCAAGGCACAGCTCATGAGCCACCCCCTTTGAGACCTTTGATAATTCTCTTGTAAATTCTTCTGCTCCACCCCTTCAATTTTGCAACATTTATTTTATTTACGTTTTATATTTATCTGCTCACAGTAGTCTTCTTGAGTGTTCTTGAGGAAAGTGACCATTTTATTTTTCACTTGGCATTTCCAAGAACTAGCCCTGTGCCTTCTGCATAGTAGGGACATAATAAAAACTTGCTGATTTTAATTACCTTGATTTTCAGCTGTTTGACCCACCCCTTCCTTCACGTTAGCACCAAGACCTTCAGAAGGGTCTCTAAGCTGTCCCAGCTTTTAAACACGGTGTGTTCCTAGAAATGACGTCCTAGCACAGCGCTACAAATGAGGTCAAATGACAATGGAACTTGGTCATGGAAAGTGATGGACGAAGGGAGATGTAGGTCTTTCTCAAGCAGTGCCTATGAGCAGAATAGTAAAAAATAGTCTTTATCTATTAAAGAAAGGAAAACAGTAGGCAACAGTGGTACATCTCCATTCATTCTGGCATTTAGGATCATAAGATCTTTGAGTTGGAAAGAAAGTTAAAACAGTGGATTTGTCAGCAAAGGACTGGGTTCAAATCACAGCTCTGCCTATTACTACCTGTATTACTTTAGGCAAGTCACTTAATGTTTCTAAAGGTCTCAGTTTCCTCATCTGTAAAAATAAGAGGGGTTGGATTAGATAAACCCTTTCTTAGGTCCTTTCCAGCTCAAAATCTATGATGCTCTGAACCCACTCTTGGACAGATAAGACCAGAGGCCCAGAACTGGTCTGAAAGCCCAAGGTCAAGTGCAATCTCTCTTGAAATGGAACTAAAACCCAAGTTCTCAGGCTCTAAATGTTCATTTATATTCAATACTTCCTTGCTTTCATTGCTTTCTACCTGCTATTTTAAACCTTGTCACTCTGATGAAATTAAACTCTGCAAGGGCTTGGATACTAGCACACTTCTGCAATCTGTCCATAAGTAGATGCTCAATAATGACTTGGTGAAATGATTGGAACTGATATGAATAATGCAGTCTGAGCTGGAAGGGACCCTGGAGATTATGCTTTCTGCATGAATATGTCATCACCCCCTTCCAGCTAGATTGTAAGCTAGGGAGCAGGGACTGTCTTCGCTTTTGTCTTTGTAACCCCAGTGCCTAACACTATGTTTGGCATAGTAGGCACTTAATAAATGCACATTGATCGATTAATTATATATCGATTATATATACATATATGCCTATACACACACATATATAATATACACCTGTATGTGTATATATACCCATACATATACATACATACATACATATATATACATATAAATAAATATATACATACACACACACACATACACACACATACACACACACACACACACACACACACACATCACATTGTAAGTGAGAGAGCTGGAACTCAGGGAAGTTAAGTGATTGACCCAAGACCACGTAGCAAGTTAGAAACAGGTCCAAGTCTAGAACTCAGGTTTTCTAAGTCCCAGTCTTCCAGGCCAATGCTCTTACCAAATAAGTTTCTGAAAATCTTTGAATCTGTCTCACTATTATTTTTATTTTTAAAGGGCCACACATTGGTTTAAAATGTTAAAAGTGGGAGAGGGAGTCTTCTAGTACGACAAGTCCTAGGTTCCAATTTCCAAGATGATCTGTGAGTTGTGCTTCGGTTCTAAGTCGGAAGAGCATAAAGAGGTCATCTAGCTCAAATCTCTCACTTTACAGATGAAGAAACTGAGTTCCAGGGAGAGGAAGTGGCTTGATCAGGGTCACACAGGTGACATGTCAGAGGCAGGATCTGAGCCCAGGTCCAATGTTCTTTCCACCTTCAACTTTAAATGAGAAATGCTCCCAGGGAAGTCATGATCCTTGGTTTCACTGGGCAAATCTGCTGTTGAGCTCCCAATTTTCACATGGTGCTGAATCCAAGAACAATCCACTGGAAAAAAGCCAAATGATTGGCTCAGATAAAAGGAAGCCATCAACCGTCACTCTGAGGACAGGTTCTCATGGCCAAGTTTCCATGGTGTTACTTCCTTGAGAGAACTTGATGTTACACACATTCTTGGAAAGGGGAAATGCAGAACATTGGAGAGTGTCCTGGGTGGGGAATATGGAGGACTTGGTGCAGAAATGTGCTTCACAAACATTTTGCTTGTGGTTGAATAAAGATTATCTGTTAGCAAGCCCGCTTCCTTTACTCTTTCCCACCTCCATTCTTTATTTATGTGGTTCCTTCTACTTGTGATGGGCAGCCAGGTGGCACAATGGATAGAGCTCTGGGCTTGGAGTCAGGAAGACTCATCTTCATGAATTTAAATATGGCCTCAGACATTTACTAGCTGTGTGATGACAGGCAAGTCACTTAACCCTGTTTGCTTCAGTTTCCTCATTTGTAAAATGAGCTGGAGAAAGAAATGGCAAAAAAAACCCCCCACACTTCAGTATCTTTGCCAAGAAAACCACAAATGGGGTCACAAAAAGTCAGACAAGACTGTGCAATGACAACAACTCTACTTGCAATGCCTGACTGCCTCACAGAATCATACAATTGCAGAGTTAGATGGGACCTCAGGGTCATCTAACCCAAAACACACCCAAAGAATTCCATCTGCAACATGCCCAATGAGCCTCTGCCCAAAGACCTTCAGGGA